AAAATATAATAATAATCACTTGAGATGAGATTGGATGAATAAGGAGGTTAAACTGCTGAGCACTCAGTGTGGTGTGGGCAGGTACACTCATAAATCACCCATCATGAAATGGGAAAACGCATTGAAAGAATCTCCAAAAAAAATTGCTGAAGCTGAACACAGCTTCTCACAACAAAGCTAGGTGGCACACTGATGCCGATGACTTCCTTGAACACTTACCTAGCCCAGACTTTAAGTACAAAGGGTACTACAAAGGGGCCCACCCTCCAAAAATTAAATACAGTTTTTTTGTCCCCCTCGTATATTAATACAAATGATTCTTCTATTATTCCTTTTTAGTCTTCCTAAATCCACATTAGTGTGTTTTTGTTAATAAATTTATTGTTTCCAGTAGGGTGACAGGCACTTCAGCTTATCAGTTAATACTTGTCCTATTGATAGTAAATATAAATCATAGTTACAGGTTTGTGTGTTATTCAGGAAAAATTAACGTTAATTCCTGTATTTTTATGCTTAGCTTCCTGCCTAACGAAGTGCATCAAAGTATAACAAACCTGGGCTCAAATTCCAGTCATTTAATAGGGGTGTGATATGGACCAATGGTGCCTCTGAGATTACAATTCCTTATTTTTAAAGAGAGGTAGTATTCCCATAGGGGATGGTTGTGAATAAATGAGATAACATGTAAGAGTCCACTTCATAATACTCAACACATGAAGGTATTCAACAATATATTATTTATTGTTTCTCTTCTCTTCCTATTTTATTTTCTTTCTCCTTTCAACCCTTTATTAAAGTACCTGCTAAATTGGACTGTATAAATATCTAAGCCATAGAGACACCTATTAAATATTGGAATTTATATACTATATGTAGTATATAGAACTATTTTGTCATCTTTCCTTTATGCATCAAAATTTTTCATTTTATATATACTTTTTTTTTTTGAGTTGGAGTCTCACTCCATCACCCAGGCTGGAGTGCAGTGGCATGCTCATGGCCACCTCAGCGTTGACCTGCTGGGCTCAGGTGATCCTTCTGCCTCAGCCTTCCAAGTAGCCGGAACTACAGGCATGCGCTTCCACACCTGGCTAATTTTTTAAAATTTATTTTAGACACAAGGTCTTGCCAAGTTGCCCAGTCTGGTCTCGAACCTACAGGTTCAGGCAATCCACTCACCTCAGCCTCCCAAAGTACTAGGATTACAGGCAGAGTCACTGAGCCCAGCCTTATATATACTTTTTAAATGTGAGAATTTTTAGGTTTTCATTTTATGGTAAATAGTTATTTCTGATATCTTTTTTCATCAGATTATCTTAATCTTTTTCCTCTAAGGAATTTAATTATTTCACGGGGCACAAAATTGACATGTAGCATAGCAAACATGGTCCTATTTTCATGAGTAAAAATATGAAATAGGTAGTGGATAAGGGTTAAATATATACTGGTACTTATAGACAAGCACAGAGACACCAATTATTCACACACACACACACACAAACACACAATGTCAGAGAACAGATTATTTTTCCCAAATACCGGAAATGGTCAGTAAAAATTATACCAAAGATTCCTGTTGTTCCCCAGATTTCATAAATTTCAAGGAGAAACATTTGATTTCCTTTAAAACATAGGAGAAAAGAAAGGACTCTCATTGGATGTTATCAAGGGGGCTTCTGTGGCAAAACTAAAGGTGAGGGAAGAGGACTAGAGAAGCATGCTCTGTGAGACCCACTCCACTCAGGGTTAATGACCAGAGAGATGGCTGGGCAATGTCAGCTCTCCAGTCCCAGAGGCCTGCACATTTTCCCTGAATATATAGGCTTTTAGAAATCAGACCGTTCTTTTAGAGCTAGATTTTAGGGTTTAAGCCATATTAAGGAGAGCTTCTAGAAGGGATGGCACTGAAGCAACGTACCTCTTTCTCTTCTCGTTTGCCCCCATCTCCCTCTCCCCTTACTCAGTCAGAAGGTCTATTGTTTGAACCTGCTCTGACTTGGCACGCACTTATCTTCATTCCATATTGTACCAGAATGTGCTAAATATCACTAGGGAGATCCATGGAGTATGTAATTTTTCCAGATACTGAGAAAAACAGAGAGATGATCACAATTTTCCGTTAATTAAAAAAAAAAGATAATTGTGATCTTGAAAAGTGCTTGATAGATTTCTATCTAGTACTTGAAACTGAAAATTTGTGAGCAATAGGAACAAAACCACATTGTTTTGTTTTCCATCAAGTCAGGCTCCAACCAATTATCTGCGTTTCTAACTCTTCCTTTTGGCCTTCAGCACTGTGACCCAAGTCTTACCAAAGTAGCCATATGTGTGCTGTAAATATTTGTGTGTCTGGCAGGAGAAACATTTTAGCTGAAAGTTTTCCCATTAAAACATTGTTATGAAAACCAAATGTGATGTAGTTGCCATAGTAAAGCTCTTCCCTAGATAATCATTTGCTGTGTATAAACAATCCCTTTGCAAAGTGAGGTGGCGAAACTTGTCTAATAATTACTAAGGTTTTATTTCTGTCAGGTGGAATTTTTGTTATGTGGAAATATTTTATTGGTTTCGCACAATATTTACATACATTCATTCAGTCAGTCAGCCAGACAGCAGTATATATTGAGTGCCTGTCACATGTTCAACAATGTTTAGGAGAGGACAGTTACCTGGAGGGAATGATTCAAGAGTAATGTCTAGGAAGACAAAAGTTTGTAAAGATCAAAGAAATTAGGACTGAATTTGTTGAATGGTTACAGTTAGGAAGGACAGAGAGAGAGAGAGAGAGAGACCAGCCGACGTGTAAACAATTCTGGTCATGGAGGTTTGGGGAAGAATCTATCAAGGAGAAGATGGAATCAGCAATTTCCCATGCAAAGAGACCAGTGGTCACTGTTGAGTGGTCAATACTGATCTGAGGACCAGTTCCAGGAGCATTGTGTAGGGAACAGCTGGAGGAAGCAAGGAAGCATCAGCAGAGGTACAAGAGGGAAAAAAATGAGAGGCAGAAGTGAGGCTAAGAGAACATCTTCCTCAAAGTGGCAGAGACCTGCCTGTGTATGTTTAAAAGCAGAACAGATTAATACATGCATTCTATCTTTTTTTGGTGTAAAATTTCTGGTAATTTTTGTTATTTCATGGAAATTCCCTACTTTCTTTAACTTTATTTTCATATTCAAGTTAACACAACATATGAAAAAATTCATTTGTATTTGCTCACTGAATATATCACACATTTATTAACTTTTTCCTCACTTTTTCACTTTACTTAATTTATTAGGATACAAATAGACATTTGAATGTTAAATAGATAATCTTTTAATGACTGTATATGGCTAATACAATTAATTTGCTTCTTATTGTACCAAATAGTTTTTATTTGGATGAATCCTTTCATTCCGAATAATTGTATTTATATGCTCATAATATAAAGTCACTGTTACATTTTTGCTCTATAAGTAAGAAGCAGTATGAACAGTGAATTTTAAAAGAGAATAATTGAAAATTAAAACTCTTATTTTTGAACATGTATTTCATAGCATGAGAACAAAATGTATTCAGCTGTTCATTTTATAAAGAAAGAAAAATTCATTTTAAATTAGAATTGTACCATTTAGAGAGTATAATTTATGCAGTCACAGGAGAAATATAAATGCTACATATCAGTGGGTAGAGGAAAAAAGTCACATTTTAATGAAACATTTGGTGTTAAATCTGTCTACACGGAACACATTGTTTTTCTAAGAAAAAAAGGGTTTGAAAGTCAGGACTTGGGCATTAAGGCTTAACAAGAATCAGTGGGAATCAGAAAAGTGTAGAGTTTGAACTCAGTTGATAAATGAAAAAAAATTTTGATTCTGTGAGAAATCAGTGAACATGTCTCCTCTATTGACCATCAGCATTGGCGTCATCACTTCTTTGCTTTCTCCTGAGCCAAGAGAGACCCTAATTCAAGGCTTGATGAATTCCAGTATATTGAGTATTTTAATAACCTTCATAAAAAAATAAAAGATTCTCCATGAATTAAATATGAGCTTTGGCTTATTTTTCCAGCAATGGTGATGGATTTGCACTGCTCAGTCTGTAATCTTGTGCTTATTGAGGGAAGGTTTGCTAGATTCACCAGGCTGTGAAACAAAACATACCAGCTAAGTAACCCACAGGAAGATTAAATCTGCGATCTTGGCTATGCTAACAGTGCTCCTTCAGCAGGAACACTTACTGAGCAGAGGTTGCCTTGGTGACAATGTCCTGTAGAAGGACCAAGCCTTGTTAAGGTCCAGTAATGTGGCTGTAATATGGCTGTGAAGTTGCAAGGTGGGTTCCGTTTCCCCAGTGCATCTCCTGATCTGCTTTTAGATTATGCTTTAATCTCTCTCATCTTTTAGGTTGATAGTGCCCTCTCTTCCTTCCAGTATCCCACACCATCCTGCCCTTGTCAAAAATCTCTTTCTAGAAAGAAGCTGGTATTTATGTAAAAGCCCATGTATTAAATCCTCTGAGGTTTTTGAATGTTGAATTTTATCTTCACTGGGTTGCTTTTCTTCTTAGAGTTATCAAAAGGTAATTGGCAGTCATACCAAAAATAAAGAATTAAGACACACAGAAATTTCTGGCCAGGCACGGTGGCTTAAACCTGTAATCCTGGCACTTTGGAAGGCTGTGGCGAGAGGACAGCTTGAGCCCAGAAGTTCAAGATTAGCTTGGGCAATATAGCAAGACCTCATCTATAAAAATAAATAGTCAGGCATTGTGGCATGCGTCTATAGTCCTGGCTACTTTGAAGGCTGAGGCAGAAGGATCGCCTGAGACCAGGAGTTCAAGGCTGCAGTGAGCCGTGATTGTGTCACTGCCCTCCAGCCTGGGTGACAATGAGACTTGACTCAAAAAACAAAAAAAAAGACAGATAGACACACACACACACACACACACACACACACACACACACACAGAGAGAGAGAGAGAGATCGTGAGTGCATTATTTCTCTTTGGTTTTACAGAGGAAACCCCCAATGGTGGTGGATGACCTTTTTGAAGACATGAAAGATGGTGTTAAACTGCTTGCTCTCCTGGAGGTCCTGTCCGGGCAGAAACTGGTAAGATTTTTTCTTCTTCTTTTTCTTTCTTTCTTTCTTTTGTGTGTGTGTGTGTGTGTGTGTGTGTGTGTGTGTGTGTGTGTGTGTGACCATACTTTCAAATTTTTCCCATTTAGAATTTGGGGATTGTGAAGTTGAGAGTGTCAAGGAGTATTACCCATATTAAAAGAAAGTCCTTTAGTTGTGGTTGGTAGCATACAGGAAACACTGGTCTACCAGTCACTTCTGGGAGCAAGAAATATATTTCCATTTTTATTCCTGCACACAAATAGTGGATTTAAAATATTATGTAAGCCGGGCTCGGTGGCTCAGCCTGTAATCCCGCGCCTTTGGGAGGCTGAGGTGAGTGAATTGCCTGAGCCTGCAGGTTCGAGACCCACCTGGGCAACTTGGCAAGACCTCATCTCTACAATAAATCAAAAATTAGCCGGGCGTGGTAATGCGCACCTGTAGTCACAGCTACTTGGAAGGCTGAGGCAGAAGGATCGCCGGAGCCCAGCAGGCCGAGGCTGTGGTGGCCAGGAGCAGCCACTACACTCCAGTCTGGGCAACAAAGTGAGACTCCAACTCAAAAAAAAAAATAAAAATAAAAAATAAAACATTATGTTTATAGTGGCAACCTTAGAAGCAAGAGTAAAGAACTTCATCAGTAACCTGACATGGATAACTATTGCATCTGTATGGAAGGTGTTACTAATCAACATCTACCTTTAAGTGTTTGCTTTCCATTAGTAAAGGATTCTTGGTCCATATCTGTGTATTTACATAGTTGTTTGTTGAAAATTAAGCTTGAATCAGTGTAGCATTGACATCATTCATCATGAATCATTCATAGCAAGAACAGCATGTTCAGAGTTCGTTTTATGTGCTGTGGAAACAGCAGAGTGAAAAAAATACTGACGGTATGTTTTTCTACATTATTGAATAATAAAATATTTATTTTTTCTTGCTTATGTTTTTATTAAATTTCAGAGTCGTAGAGCTATAAGTAGTTTGTAAATGAAATTATTTATAAATAATGTTTACTGTATTTGGAAAAAGGAATTCGGGAAATAATCTTCAGAATGTTGGATAGCACATTAGACACGGAGTCCAAAATTAGGAGTACTTTCTTTTTCTTTCTCTCTTGTATCTTGGCAGTAACTACACAATCATTAATGCTTGGATAAATGAGTTGTTTAAAGGACATTTTTAACTCCTTAAAATTAATTTCATGATAATTTTGTTCAGGGAGTCCTCAAAATATCTTTTGTAAAAGAATTGCTTGTTAGAATGTACAAATTGATAATAATTTTTTGTAAATCATTGATCTATTTGGATTCAGGTTGTAGCAGATGTTTTTGGCATCCCCACATCTCAGTTCAGCTCACCTCTGATTTCAGTTATATTGATGATAGACATCTTTCATACACTCTGACAGCCTATTGCCCCTGGTACTCTCTGGGTTCTACCTCAGGGCTTTTATCAAAGCCACAGGTTGCACCTGGCAACTCTGAAGTGTTGGAAAATTAATGGTCTCAAAGAATTCTCAACAAATGGAAATAGAAGTCTGTTAATAAATGTTCCATCCTTGAATTTTTAGAAGGGCAATTCTGAGACATATGTTACTCATGTCTCTCTGAGTTCCCCATAGGGTCCTCAGCAGGATTGAGCTCAAGTTGCCTAGATTGATACTCCTAATAGCATACCTTTTATTGACTTTTCCTCCTTTTTGGTCCCATTTTCCACACATCCTCACTCCTGCTATCTGGGGTCTTCTCTCCAATAACCTATTTATACCCAAGTTCTTGTTGCAAGTTCTATTTTGGAGAAAATCAAGCAAGACATATAGGAACAGCCAATCTGGAATATACAAGTATGTATATGAGCTATGTAAACTGGATAAACATTAGGATGTGGGAATTATTAGAATAACATATATACTCCTCTGATTGCCTGTTATAACAGATCATCTTTATATACCCTCTCTCCGAATTAAGCTATTTACTTGAAGGTTGATGAGTCTTCATATGGGTATTCATAGGAATATTCAAGAAGTGTATCTGCATTCCAAGTGTCAAGATAATTCTGCCATTGTACCTGACAATACAATAGAGTATACAGAAATCTTGATGAGCATTTAACTACCAAGCTAGATTATTCTAGAAAAGAGTATACTTTGACATAACAGTTCTACTCTCATTTGTGTCCTATTCATTCAGACATAATTAGAATTATGAGATCTTAAAGCTAGAAGGAATTTTAGGAAAAAAACTCAGCATTCTCATTTAGCAGATAGAGAAGCCGAGGCATAGAAGAACAGTTTCTGATTTAACTTTTATAATTTATATTGAATTTCTCAAGATTCTGAATTACATAAAATTATTCTGGATTTATAAATATGCCACAACAATAGCTATTTAAGTTATGTACATGTTTGCATTATGGTTCTGGACCATGTTAAGATGAAGAGCGTTATTTAAAGGAGTAAGGATCCCAGGCCTTCTTTCAGAGATTTTCTAAGGGGGAATTTGGGTAAGAGTGTTTCACTCAGGAGCACTAACATTGCTCAGGAATTCTATAATTCTGTGATAGGTAGAAACGTACTTAGAATAACCCTATGCTTAATGTCACAAATCTCAGGACTCTGACTTAGAATATGATCATCTGAGAAATATGACCAATGACTCAGCATCCTCTCTACTGCCTGCATCTCAGGGCAAGCATGAAATCTCAATATCCTAACACCCTTCAATAATCTGTTATTACTACCTTGTCTATGATTTCATTTTAAGTATTAGGGAACTGCAAATTTTTTTTGGTTAGAAAGCAGTTTATTAAGACAGAAGAGCTCCTAAGTGGGAGGGGGCCTGAAACAGGGTTGCCCGGGAATTGTAAATTTTTAAAATTATTATTCTTGAATTTTTCTGCATCCATTGAATATTATTTGTGAAACATGCACTCTTTAAATGTATCATGGATTATATATCTTTAATTACACATAAACATAGAAACACAAAATTTAACTTTGCACTTAGGATTTTTTTTTTTTTTTTAGAATGTAAGGAATTGTCACTGAAACATTAGAAACAATGGAAGCAACAGGAATAGAGATTAAGGACTACAGATAAACTTCTTTCTGAACTATTTTGTCTAACCTCCTGTACAGTATTTTTTTAAAAGACCCTTGACTGGGCTCGGTAGCTCAACCTGTAATCCTAGCACTTTGGGAGGCTGAGGAGAGTGGATTGCCTGAACCCACGGGCTCGAGACCAGCCTGGGCAATTTGGTGAGACCTTGTCTCTACAATAAAAATTTTAAAAATTTAGCTGGGCATGGCAGCATGACCTACAGTTCTGGCTGCTTGGAGGACTGAGGCGGAGGGATCGCCCCAGCCCAGTAGGTCAATGTTGCAGTGGCCATGAGCGTCCCACTGCACTCCAGCCTGGGCGATGGAGTGAGACTCCAAAAAAAAAACTCTTGAACACCTTGCACAAGAGAAGAATACTTAGAAGTGAACAGTGGACACTCTTAGGGGATCTTGAGCACCAAAGACCCTGCATGTGTACCAGGTGACTCTGTAAGTCATATATTTAGAGTAGAATCAATTCTGCAATGGCATTTGACATTGTCTAATAATCATTCAGATAACATTTCTGGAGTCCCTGATACGGATAAGGCATTACTCTATGTCCTCTAAGGAAAATGGAGATAAATGAGATATGGTTGGTGCCCCGAAAGAACTTGTAGCCTAGTATAGTCAATTTTAAAAAATATGGAAGGACACTACATAATGATAAAAAATTCAGTTAATCAACAAGAAACATCTATCCTAAACATATATGCACCCAACATAGGAGCACCAACTTTTATAAAGTAGCTTCTAGGTAAACTAAAAAAAGATATTGACTCTAACATCATCATAGCTGGGTACTTAAATACCCCACTAACAACACTGGGTAGATCATCGAGGATAAGTGTATTGGTTAGGAAATATTAAGTTGTATAAAAATAAATGCAAATATATGATGGCACAATACAATAGATGTTTGTATCTTTCTCACTTAGCCAGGATACACCTAAAGAAGAAAAACAAAAACAGCATTTGTCCTACTAAATATCAGATCTTACACTGAAGCGATATCACTTTAGACAGTGTGGTATTAAGTACAGAGATGGACATATTGAAAAATGCAGTGGAATCTAGAAACAGACCAAGGCATGAACGGAACGTTAGTGGATGTCAGAGTTCGATGCCACATGCAGAAAGGAGAGATTGTTCAATGAACAGAACAGGAAAAAACAAAACAAAACATGTATTCTAATACAAAACAGTAAAATTGGATCTTATCTCATAGCCTATAAAAAATCAAACTTACATGAACTAAGGGCCTACTGGCAAAACACTTTAACTCTTAGTAAAAAATATAAGTGGATATCTTTTAGACATAAGGATAGAAAAAAGTTATTCCATAAGACACAAAAATATTGATGATAAAAGATTGTTATTTTTAACTATGTTAAAATTAAAAATATTTTAAAAATCAAAAACCTTCAAAGAAATTGGCAAAAGAAGTTACAAATTTGTAGAGGTCAGTCACGATTCCTGTTTTGAAAGGATTAAAAGAGGGCTAGATCAAGAATATATAAAACACATCTCCAAAACAAGAAGGGTACAAACAACCAAATGGAAAACCTGGGTAAGGGATGTGAAAAGACATTTTACAGAAGAAATTAACATTGCCAGTGACCACAGGAAACTATGCCCACATCATTGCTGATCAGAAAAATACAAAGGAAGACCACAATGACATTTTACATACATTCAATTGAAAATGAAATTTTAATTATCTATCAAAATCAAGTGCTAGAATGTGGAACAAAAGGACTATTTTTAGAATACTGAGCAGAGTGAAAAGTAGTGCAACCATTTTGGAATAGTTTAGCATGACTTTACAAGATCCAAAGTCACATTCCCTTTGACTCAGCAATTCTTCTCTTAGATATATGTACAAAAGAAACTATGTTGCACAAAAGGTGAAAAGTACAAGAATGATCTATCAGCATACCACAAAAGCAATAAAAGAAATAACCCAGATTCACATCAGAAAGGCAGTATATAAATGGTACATTATATAGGTTTCAAAATGCATGGAATATAGTGAAAGGCAACAATATAGATTAATCTTAGCAACATAAATCTGTGTGGAAAAGTTAAAAACTAAAATAAATGTTCTTTTTAAGAATGCATATAAAAGAAATGAATTCACCTCTCTGTACTGCTTTCATGGCATCCCAGAGATTTTGGTAAGATGTGTCTTTATTTTCATTTGTTTCCAGAAAACTTTTAATGTCTACTTTGATTTCCATGTTGACCCAGAAATTGTTCAGCATCATGCTGTTTAGTATCCATGTCTTTGTGGGTTTGGGGGGAGTTTTGTTGTTGTTATTTATTTTTATTCCACTGTGGTCTGAGAAGGTGCTTGGCAGTATTTAGATCTGATGGAATTTGTTTATGCTTGATTTATGGCCGAAGTTGTGATCTATCTTGGAATATGTTCCATGTGGTGATGAGCAGAATGTATATTCCGTGGTTGTTAGGTGGAGTGTTCTGTATGTATTTATTAAGTTCATTTGGTCAAGTGTCAACTTGAGGTTCAGGATCTCCTTGTTGATTTTTTTGCCTCAATGATCTACTGAGGGTTGTTAGTGAGGTATTTAAGTCCCCAGCTATAACAGTGTTAGAGTCAATATCTTTTTTTAGTTTACCTAGAAGCTGCCTTTTTTTTGACTTTTAATTTTTTATTTGAAAATTGTGGGGTACAATTCAGGGTTAGGTATCCAAACATTCATTATGCATGTACCCTTGTTGATGAGGTGTGACCCCTTCCCCAGGCAGATTCCAACTACTGCCAATCCCACCTTCCCGACCCCCCCCACACCCCTGCAGTTTCCCACAACTGTCAATCCTTTTCTTGTAGTATTATGGTAGTCGTTGAAGATCCACTTATGAGAGAGAACATGTGATACTCAGTTCTTTGTTTCTGTGAAAGATCACTCAGTATTATAGACTCTAAGTCTATCCAAGTTGCTGCAAAGTTCATGATTTTGTTCTTCTTTATGGCTGCATAATATTCCATGGTGTATATGTACCACATTTTTTTTATTGAGTTCTCTTTTGATGGGCAACATGGTTGGTTCCATGTTCTTGCTATTGTGAACAATGCTGCGATAAACGTACATGTGCAGGTATCTTTTTTATAGAGTGATTTGAATTCTTTCGGGTATATTCCCAGTAGGGGGCTTGCAGGGTGGTATGGAAGGTCAATTTAATAAAAATTGATCCTCCTATGTTGGGTGCATATATGTTTAGGATGAATACTTCTTGTTGATGAATTGAACTTTTTATCATTATGTAGTGTCCTTCCATATCTTTTAACATTTTTTTTGGCTTAAAGGTTATTTTGTCTGATATTAAGATCACAACTCCTGCTTTCTTTTGAGAGGATGCGGGGAAAAGGGAACACTTCTACACTGTTGATGGGAGTGTGAAACTAATACAACCTCTGTGAAAAATAGTGAGGTGATTCCTAAAAGATCCAAAAATCAACCTTCCATATTACTCCACAATCCCCCTTCTGGGAATATACCCGTAGGAACTCAAATCACTCTATGAGAAAGATACCTGCACACACATGCTTATTGCAGCATTATTCACAGTAGCAAAAGCATAGAACCAACCATGATGTCCATTGAAAGTGAACTGGATAAAAAAAAATGTGCTACATAAACACGATGGAATATTACACAGTCACAAAAAAAGGACAAAGTTATGAACTTTGCAGCAACTAGGATGGATTTAGAGTCTATATTACTCAGTGATCTATCACAGAAACAAAGAACTGAGTACCATATGTTCTTACTCATAAGCAGACTCTGAACAGTTATTATAATACTATAAGAAAGGGATTGGCAGTAGTGGGAAACTCCAGGGAAAGGGAGGGAGCACACTTTATCAATAAGGATACCTGATCTCAAAACAGGCAAAATGGGAACCAAAGGGAGGCTCAAACTTTACCTGTGCAATGACCACTTGTATACCTAATCCCTGAACTGTATCCCACACCTTAAAATAAAAATTAAAAAAAGAATACCAATATAAAAGAAATAAATCTTTCTGCAAAAAGGAAAAAGTTGGACTGGATTTTGGGTGATGGCTACCCTGGGTGTACGAGGGTAGGAAGATGGAATGAATGGTAATCATTTTGAGGGATATGGCTTTCATACTTAATTGTGATGATTGACTTTGTTTTAGGTGGTAGATTTCATGGGAGCTTTTACATTGTAAAAAATAATTATTTAAATAAACTAAGTAAGAGGGACTGTGCATGTGTGAATGAGACTGTGTCCTATGTAATAGATGTCTCACTAAAGAATACATTAAAATTAAAAATGATATCTTTAATTTAAACGTGTTTGAATTCATATAAAAAATACTACTTGGTACACTACTAATTGGAACTTAAAATACTTGGTTTAGAATTTTAATGGGAAATTATTTAAAGCTGTAGGGTCACAGAAAGGAGACCAGTTTACCAGCCATGCACCTTTAAAGAAATCACTTAACCTCAGTTATTCTCATAGATCCTATAAATGCAAAGGAGGATTATCATATCTACTTCACTGAAATTATTTGGAGTTTTCAATTTGAAGTTGTGGTGCAGAGACTGCCCATAATAAAATTTGATAACTTAAACACAGATAACTTAGACAATTCATTTACCAGAAACACTTTTTCATTCTCACAGTCCTATTTTTTAACCTTGGTTCACATTCTCCATGTATTTTGGCTATGTAAATCAAGAAATATCACTAATAATGTTAGTCTCCTTGCATATTTAGATGACTAAAAAAAAAAGAGGTGAGTGACCAAAAGTACTATTCATATACATATTTCATAACTTGCAGGAGTGACAGTCTCAACAGACCACATAAGAGTTTTGCAAACTTTTGCTCTTACTCATCCAGAAGATTGAAAGACAAACACACTAACAGATATAAACTGAGAATGAATTTTTTATTGAACAAAGTAGTACATCCTCAGAGTGCTGTGGGGATAACACTCCTTTACATATTTGCTAAACTTTATAGAAATTGAGTAATGTTGGTTTTTCTTGAATATTCTTCAAGCACATTTTAATCCATTTAAATAGATTTTAAAACTAACTTTTTAATGTGTGCAGTTTGTTTTATTCCTATTCTTTCATTGTTTACAGCCCTGTGAGCAAGGACGCCGGATGAAGCGAATTCATGCTGTGGCTAACATCGGCACAGCACTCAAGTTCCTTGAAGGAAGAAAGGTAAGAGAAAAACAAAACAAAATAAACAAACCAACAAACAAAACACTTTAGGAAGACAAGGGCATACTGATATTTCCAAATTGGGTGTGGGGACAAAACACTGCATGTATTACATACAGTATAGACATTGTAAAATAATTTTAGATTCATGGAAATGTTACAAAAAGAAAATTTCATATCAACACTTCATTCTGCTTCCCCAAATCTTAAGAACTTACATAACCATAGTGTGTAATTATCAAGCTAAAGAAATTAAAATAGGTGTGATACTATTAACTAAAGTATAGATATTAGTCTAATTTTATCAGTGTTCCCTCTATTGTCTTGCTTCTGGATCCAATCCATTATCATATTTTGCATTTAATTGTCTCTTCCAGTCTATGACAGGTTTTCATTCCTTCCTGTCTTTCATGACCTTGACACTTCCGATAACTGTTGATCAGTTATTTTGCTGAATGCCTCTCAATTTGGATTTGAATAATATTTTCTCTTTGTTAGATTGAAGTTATACATTTTACATTCTCGCCAAGAATTCCAAGGAAGTAATGTTGTTTTCTTCC